TTTTGGAGCAATGCGGATGGGCCCAAAAAGAAAGAAGACCAAGAACCAGATGGGAAGACTGTCGCAATAACAATGACCCCCCCCCCCACCACACACACACACACACACACACACACACACACACACACACACACACACACACAAAAATACAGATCTGTCACTGATTTGGAACAGTCATATTTGAGTAAAAGTAGCATGTCACCTATCGAATTATCTATTTCAAAGAGGCCTAACCTATCAAGCACAACATTTTATCTAGAAAATATGATTGATAAAAACATAATTTAAGTGAAAGAACAAAACGGCCAACTCCTTAGTTATCGTGATTTTCTAACAGAAAAGCATTCCCTACCAATTTAAAGAATTTCATTCCGTTAAAAAAACTCCATCCTGAGGAGAATATTAGAATTAAAACTACATACTGTGCACAACAAAAGATTACGCTTGATGGTGGACCACAGCATACTTGGGGTTTGGCACACCCATCCGCGGATTGTATTATTATTATTGTCTTTTCTTTCCTTTTATTTTATTTTTGTCAACCCCCATGCATCTTTAATGAGTGTCAATTATACGTGAATTTTGGCGCGAATAGCGTGGGTCAACTATACGTTATACTGTATTATCAATTTAAAAAAAGAAAAACAAAACAAGAAAAGGGTGGGTTGAGCTACGTAACGTCACTTAGTATCCCTCAACACACTTCCGTAGCCACCGTAGCCTGCTTCGCTCCGGCGAGCTAGAGGCGTTTGTTGTTCTACCGATCGAGCGATGTTCGACAAATGTACTTGTCTATTTACACGACAAACGCTGGGAAGTAACCGGGCATTATGGAGGAGCCTTGGGACTTTGAATTTCTGTCCCGTATCGCCGACGGCTGCTTGTCGTTTCTTTCCGAATTCGTGGAGGACTGGCTCGCCAACGACTTGAGAGTCTCCATATTCAAAATCCTCCTCACCTGGTTGATTTTCAGTCTCCTGGCTATTCACTTTGCTTGGAAGGTTTACGGCAACACGGTGAACGACATGTATTATCGCCAAGGTGAGCATTTGTTTTTACTAGAATTTCTACCTGGTTGCTCGGGTAGAGGTAATAGGGTTGAGCTGACTTGCTGTCTTGTTGCGTTCAGGTAGCGGCCAGAACGGGGGGACACCTGACACAACAGCTGGCCTGGGGAGCTGGTAGGTATCCGCACACTATTAGCGTGTTACTCTGTGTTGTTTTGGTGTTTTTGTAGAGCGTAATGTCATTTTGTCATTGTTGTAGGGGGAGCACATCGGGGGAACCATTCAAATCTCATCGGGATTAGCCAGACGTCTGAAACTCCCAGAGACAGTGAATGCACCTTCAAATTCTGACTATTAAGGGTTTGTCGTCAGTTTTTATAAACTGTACATGCTCCTAGAACACGATTGTAAATACAAAATTGATTCTAAATATTGTGTCTGATTATTAAACAAGATGCCTGGACTCACTGTTGTAGCTCACTGTATATTGTGAAAAACCTCCTGTAGATTTTGCAGAGATGTGAGCCGATGACAAAGGTGTTCGCAGGGATGAATGAACCTCCAAAGCCCCTTTTTCCTCGAGGGATCCCTAAAGTGCGAATGGAACTTCAATGCCGTGATTTACTCACATTAGATGGCGCAGGAAAATAATCTTGGCAAGTTGATGACATGAGGCACTACTCCTCTGGCATCAGATATCAAAATATTAACCCAAGATAGATTAGCCCATATTTCAATTTTCAATTTAATAAAAAAAAAAAAAAACTGGTCAAAAATTTAATTTTTCAATATTTGTTTTTAGTTATGTTTCAATCTATTCCACACGGTTCAACAAGGTGATGGCAAAGAAAACAAAATATTTAAAATTAGTTAAGTTTTTTTGTTGGTGGGTTGTTGTTGTTGTTATGCAGATATCTGTTTTAAATATAAAATCGATTTGGTGTTCCATTTGTATTTGTTATGAGAGCCCCGATTATAAAATTACATAGGTGTCTGGTATAACCGCATGTCGGACATTCCCTAACAAACCAATCAGTGTCAAAATTAGATGGTGGGCCAGGCCATTTGCGGCCCACCATCCACTTTTCAGCGGTCCGTGACATGACAAAATATATAATAAAAATAATATTTGACATGGGCCACAACGTTACCGATAATTAAAAAAGGTGAAGGCGGGCAGAGTGAGCAGGGAGGGTGTCAGAAAAATAAGTGCCATTAATACTAAATTTGTACAATACCGTACAACATTTCTCAATACTCGAAGATTCAAATGAACCATTTATGATTAAAAGAATACAATTTATCTTCAAAACACTGCAGTGAATAAATATAATTCACTTTTAGAGGCAAAATTGTTTATTTCACATTGTGCTCTATGGCTGATTTATGAAGACATCACATTAATGATCCCCCAGGACCTGAAAAATGGCCATCTTATGACAGTTTGTTGTTGTTTTTGGCTGTGAAAGTGGAGATGTGATTAACTTGCTGTTAAATGCAGAGCTGAATATTCAGTGAGATAAAGGGCCACCTTAAAAACATGGAAAATTTCTCAACTATTTGCCTTCAGACCTTAAACAGAAAGACAGATTAACTAGACAATACAAACAATATATAATTGCTTTCTTGACTGACTTCAGCGCGTTTCAGAAGTTGAAGAATTTTAAAGTGGCCCTTTCATCCTTCCATTTATACATATTTGGCCCTCAAACAAAAACGTTTGGACACAGAACTGTGGGGGACTTGGTCCACAAATAGCAAGGGTTCACTGTTGTGGATTCAGCTCAAATTACACTCTCAGTCCTATTTGGCACTGTGTGGAATTAGCAGAATGTGCACATCCATGACATTGGTGCAGGTTAATCCTGGGACAACTAAGTTGCGTCCACCAGAGAGATGTGTAAAAAAAGTAAAGGAATCGTTGTTTTTAAGGAAGCTGACAATGTCGAGCTGTTGTTTTTGGGCATCTTCATACAAGCCTGCATCCGTGATGGCTCCCCCCCC